TCTATCAGTTTCACAGAGGTTGCTGCTGAAACTGTGCGGAAAATAATTCTAAAAGTGGAAATTTGAAAGGCAGTGTGAAGAAAGAGGGAAAATACTTACGAGATTGAGGAAGGAAGAGAAGGCTACACAGAGGTAGAGAGGGACAACAAATGTTGTTACAAATATTCAAATTTAAATGTGTTAAAAGATATCATAAACTGAAAATTACATTTATTCGTCCTCAAGATTCTTCAAACCTTCCAGAATCTTACCTTAATACTAATAGTTAAACTAGTTCTAGTTTCTAATTGGGTCTTAGCTTAGTTTTGAAATAGTATGTTACAGTTATTAAAAATGATACTATAAATGAAGTAATTATTAGGATTATCATTTTCAAACCTAAAAGAAGAAATAAAATAATATGTACGTAGAAAATAGTTTTATTAATATTCTAACTACTTAACAATAGTAAAAACTTTAAGAATCTTATGAAATTACAAAACATTCAATGATTTGTATAAACTTGCAGCCTCTGTTCACCCACCTTACCAGAAACAGAGTACCTGTGATTGGCACTTTAGGTATACTCAACAGTTCTACTAGTTTTACTATGTTATTTTTATTAAAAGAGAAGAGTGGATAGTATTATGGATCAGATAACTGTTCGATATAAAATTATTCATACCTATCACTTCTGTTTTCTGGAGCTTTTCTTTCATTCATCTCGTGAATTCACATCTTCTCGTTCTTGATCAGTTATAGCTCCTAATTAAAATGTCCTCCATAACTACAAAATCAATTGCAGCTAAGTATATTAAACAATCCTAACCTCTAAGCATTGATACATCACATCAGCTCCATTTTAGACCCATTAACATAATATCATTGACTATTGGATACTGAAGTAGACTTCCCATCTCCATCTGTAGCCAATTTTTTATTAAAAAAGAATTTAGTTGTGTGAGCCAGACACAGAATGCCCTAGTGTCTAAAATTCCATTTTATACCTTATTTTTTGTTGCTGACCTGGTTGTATTGATAGTCGAAGATAATATTTACAGAGATGCAAAAACTCTAAATTAGAACAAAGAAAATATAGACGCTCTTACGTTAAACGCCACACGTTTAGTGTTTGCATAGCATATAATGGGATTTCCACAAAGAAAAAACTCTCTATTAAAAAATTTCAAGAGCCCTAAATATTAGTCCGATTTTATATTGCACACCAAATAACACACTGTAATTAAAAGCAAGCACTGTACAAATACTAGCCTATTTATTAGAAATAAAATAACCATATATTATAACCAAATAGTATTTTTGAACTAGAGCAGGGATCCTTAAGCTTTGTTCCAGGGAAATAATGTCTGTTAAATTCATACTATTTGTTTTATGCATTTTTTTCATGGGTTTGCAATATTTTTTAGAGTCAATGAGTTTTGCAATTTACAAACAAACAAAAAGCCAGGTATGGGTCATATTGTAAAATGTATGGAAAACTTCACAATAAGAGAAATGTTTTCTATGAGTTGCCAAATAATAAAGTTAAAAACCCCATGGATATCAGACTACTTATCAAAACAATCTTTAATTGATAGCACTATCAAAGTGTGACTATAATCGTTTGTTAGCTGGACTTAAGTAATTAGAGAGGATCTGGTCTTTTTTTCATTGAAATCATAATCTTATTTCAAGAAGGAACCCTCAACATAAGTTTTGACATCACCAGGTAATAGAATATTATATTTTAAATACTGTAATAAATCTCCTATCACGTTACTTATTGACAAAATTTGTTCGTTTTAATTTAATGTCAAACATCATAAATTTTCTTACTTGCATACAAAGAAACTCATGTTCTGCTCTGTCTATTATCTTTTGAGTAATATTTTATCCTGTTTTAAAAATGTGTATGTCCATACTAACACTAAGAATTAATTGTTGTAAGGAACTTGTTTTATTGGATAATGCTATAAATGGTATGATACAAGTTAATATTTTTTATTGTGAAACATTGTGTTTGGTTAATGTACAAATTATGATGATCAATATAATTTTTATATTGATTATATTATTAACTTTAAAATAACAATTTTAGTTTGGTCTTTCTAGAAATTGTTCTAAAGAAAAATATTGTAGTTGCACTTCTTTGGGTGATAAATATTTTATTATATATCAATGTAACTTTTTCAATATAAAATTTTCCTTATACTTATTTCTCGTATAGTTTGGTAGAAGAGAAAGGGAAGCTTGCTGGCTGAGTGGATTTTGAGCTCGTTTAATAATAAGATTACGAGTTCAGTCCTGAGAAAAGTCAGAGGCTTGGTAATGGTTGAAACTTCAAATTTGACTCTTCTTGATCGGGCTTTTTTAATCATGGCTTTAGAAACAGCTGATCTGAGTCAGTAAGCAGCTGTAGCCATTGTTCATTTAAACTCATTGCTCAATCAGCTTTGCCTTGAAACACACACCTTGGTGTACTTAGGTGTCGCATAACCCTTAGCTAACGTATTGGTCCTGCACTTTTAAACTGCCTCTTTAAAATTGTCTTCAGCTATCCCAAATCTATAAGGGAATAATCTATGATTGTTTAGCAACAGGTTTCCTTAACCCCCTTTTAAACTGATGGGTCTGACTGATTACTATTTTTTGTTACACAACTAGGAACATTGTCCATAGGATGAAGTTTGTTTCAATAACCAAATAAAAATCCAGGTAAGAAGCTAATCTTGTTAGTAAGTTTTTTGACTTAAGGCAAAATTAATAAACAAGAACAGCCTAAAAGCAAAGACAATAGTGATAGATCAAGTCTACCAATAATAGATCAAGTAACATAATAAAATTGTAGACCAGAGTTTGTTGGATTCCCTTTTTAATAAATTAATAAGCTGACACTGGTCTAAGTTGATTTGTTCCTAATCTAAGGTAAATCAACAAAACCCACTCCATATATCACTTTTAATAATCAAACCATATACAAACTATTTAACCTCAATTTTATACAATAAAATATTTGTCTACAAAAATAAATATATGTTAAATATTCATAGCCTATACAATAATATCAGGAAATATAAAAGCTAGTATACATGTGCTTGGGTTAAACTTGTCATATAGTAAAAGGAAAATGAACTATAAATGAGATCAAATTGTCAACGATTAAATGATGGATTATTACAAGTTTTTTTAATTGCATAAGGCAGTATGGCAGTTTATTCAAAAATATACCAGTGTTAATATTGAAAATCAATGATTTGCTATCACACAATGCATATACAAATTTATGGAATTTTGTCTAATGACAAGTAGCTTTCAAAGACAATTAGCTCATATCTTGCTATAGTTTCTTTTATAATTTTTGCTCATATCTCGAAGTGATAAATTTAAAATGTTTTAATTTGGGGTGTTACACTCATCTTTCAATGATAAAAACTTTAAATGTTAGGCCTGGATCTTTCATAAAGTGAACATAAAAGATTTAACAACATTTAGACAAATAAGTAAATAAATCAGCATATTTTCATGAAAAATATACATTTTTTATGCACCTAACAAAATATTTTTTCTTTTTTTTCAATACATATCATAAAACCTTGGTATAACCATGCAAAAAAAATATCCAAACCAATGATCTCTTAAATACAAGCTTAATTTATAAAAAAATGAATTGTAGAATAAAAAAAAAATTAACTGTAACCACCTGAAAGAAAGTCATTAGGCCTTGCCAATAAGAATCAACTCATAGTAAGGATAGAATTGATAGATTTTAGTCAGATAAATGCTTTGAAAACAAACCTTTCTTTGGGTGAAGATTGTGAAACTAAATATTTACAAAAAACAGCCATCAGCTAACTAAAACACATTGAAATAACTGGTCCCCCGTTAAAATGCAAAGCTCCTATTTATCCAATGGTGTCACAAATAAAATCCTGACAAATACTGAACTGGTATTTCAGCTGGTTATATACATAGCACTTCTATAATCTATGAATTCCTAACACAAATGAAGCCTAATATTGTTGCTTGGTTGTAAACTTGTACAGTATCACAGAACTTGGCGAGTTTAGTTATGAAAACCGGTAAATTTCAAAGTCTTTATTAAACATTGTCCGAGTTTAGTTTAATGAAAACAGTCAAGTCCAAAATCTTAGTTATTACACAGAGTTTTGCAATAAAAACGGTAAAGTTACTTAAACACTGTCCGAGTTTAGTTTAATGAAAACGGTAACGTCCAAAGTCTTAGTTGCAGTCCGAGTTTAGTTATGAAAACGGTAAAGTTCAAAGTCTTCGTCACTGTCCGAGTTTAGTTATGAAAACGGTAAAGTTCAAAGTCTTCGTCACTGTCCGATTCTCTTAGCAACAAAGCTGCAATTTCGTCCTCATCTGTGTTTACGTTTTCTCATCTCAGTGTTCGGTAGGCCATGCCCTTGAACGGAGCCAGATGTGAAGGAAGCTGCAACATCAAAACATCGTTGGTCAGGTTTGTATAGAATAAATTTGAATTAGATGATTTTATCAGTAGTTTATTTACCAACCTTCATCTATTCAAAGCAGAATTAATCCAAGAAAGAATGAAATCTACTTTTCAGTTTAAGTAGACTTTCTTTCATTGATATATGGTTTGGTTAGGACTTGAGGGCCCATAACATGTCCGAATCAATCCAGAGGCCTTAGAGCAGAATACCTTAGTGTGTTCAGGCAGTGGGCATAATGGTTGCGGAGGTGGGGTTACAGGATCCCTAACCAAAGTTTCTAAAAGGAACTAAATGCTATAGCCTACAGGCTATTATTGCAAACACCTGCATTTGGTTATTTCCCAATTTCCATACATTCCATGAGTGAGGGCGTTTTGTGTCAAAGTCATTAACAAAATAAAGAATCACAACTAAGTACAGCTTTTTTTGGTTTGATTTAAAAATAACTCATGCAACAAATATAATCAACATGTTCAATTTAATTTATTATAACATGCTTTTAATTAGGATCTGTTTAAGCCATTCATTTATCTGTAATCTCAGCATAAGCAGACCATTTCCCTAACAACTGTTTTGTATTGAATACTAGCTAAACTAAGTCCAACCTCTATTCCAACCATGCTCATGATTTAACACATTGACTGTAGGATACCAAAAACCTTTTATGAAAATATCTTCATTAAACTTTAGCGGTATAGGCGGTATTCAGAGTGTGTTATCTTATTTTTATTGTACAATTAGTTTACCCCATATTGGTCTAAGTTTTATTTAAATTACATTTATCACAGTCAATATGTTAATCCATTAAGCCTTGTTTTTTAATTCCTTAATAATTAAAAATAAAATGAGTGGTAATTCCTCCAGCAGTGGATTGATTTTGTTAATTGAACGTCGAGCCACTTTCAGCAAACAACGGACGATAGCGGACGACACTTTCCCCAAAGTAAAATGACCGAACATTACCTGACATAGAATTTTGCGCAGAACACCTCAAACGCAAACGCTCACAATATTGCACAAACAGAATGTTACTGTATGATCCACCTTGTTGTCATGACGATTGAAACTTCCATAAGACTTCCAACACTCAACAAAGTTTTATCAGTTAAATTTTCAATTTTCTTACAGTTAGACAATAGATTTGAATATTATTAGTGTGAATGGCTTTAATATTAAAGACTTAACTTTTATCAGTTATTTACAAATTATAAAATTATCTTTTAACTTTTAAACATTTTTTTTTTCATAGTAAAAATAAACTAGCTCTGTCCATTAGGCCTAAGTTACAAAAAGTGTTATCGACTTGAAAACCATCAATGAAAACTGATTGAGCAGGAAAAAGTAATGAAATATGAGGTGAAAAAATTATTAACACTCTTTAGAAAATTAAAGGTTAGTTGTTATTACTGTAATTGAATCTCCATTCAGTGGATGTCCGGGTACTTGTACTAAAAGCAAGGCTATGCTTTTAGCATATATCTTGGTTATACTGCTATACTGCTATTTAAATTGTAAATTAAGATAAAAACATTTGTCCACCCCAAACTTTTTATGGTTATAAAATATAACAAGTTATACTAACTGTATAACTTATATAATAAGTTATAATGACCGTTAAAAATATACTGTTCAGCTTTGAGTAACAATTGCAAATGGAAAGAATAATTTGCAACAAAGAGATTTAAAGGGAGGGTAGAGGCAACACTTTTAGAAACCAAAATTATGTTTATCACAGGAAAATCTGTTATTACCAACTTCCAGAAAAATATACCTTTTAAAATTTAAAACTTATTATTGAACCATTACTCTGTGTAGTTTTAAAAATAAAGGGTGTGCAAATACAAGCACATCAAGTACCGGTAACTGTAATTAACCCTGTAGCACAAGTTGAGAAGTTCTGTCAGGTCAGAAAATTTGGATAAGAAGAATCCTGACTAAAAATAAATAAAAAATAAAACACCTTTAGCTTACGATAAGAAAGAATGTTGGCCAACGTACAATAACTTTCCTTAAAAAGAGAGGGAACCTTTATTTGCAATTAAGTTATTTTGTACTTTAGACAATTCAATTCTTACATAAACTAATTCAAGCTCTGCCAATGTAAGCAAACATAAAATATTGATACAAAAATTAAAAAAAAATTTTACCTAAAATTATATGCAGTTTACTGTTATTGAATGAGCTTTTATGGTGTTATTTGCTAATTTTCCAAATGGCCAGTTAAAGTTACAGGAATGAGTTAAGTTAGCTTAACTGGAAGTAAAAAAAACATGAATGAATGGGTTTATTTTATTTATACAATAATAATATCTAAGTTCTTACCGTCAACGCAATCAGGAGTAATATTCCACTACGGCCGTTTCGGAGATGACTCCATCGTCAGGTGCGTAGTGGTACACTAAACTATAGTCTTGTCACATTTAACACGAGTTTTCTTCATTTGCATTGCGTCAGGGGGTGAATAAATAATACACATATATGTACAGGACGGACACACGAAAACACGAATACACGAAAACATTTAGAGCACATGCACGGCTTGAAAACTGACGACCGAACTGAGTCGGTCGTCAGTTTTCAAGCCGTGCACGTGCTCTAAATGTTTTCGTGTATTCGTGTTTTCGTGTGTCCGTCCTGTACATAAATGTGTATTATTTATTCACCCCCTGACGCAATGCAAATGAAGAAAACTCGTGTTAAATGTGACAAGACTATAGTTTAGTGTACCACTACGCACCTGACGATGGAGTCATCTCCGAAACGGCCGTAGTGGAATATTACTCCTGATTGCGTTGACGGTAAGAACTTAGATATTATTATTATATTTTCACGCAATCTGCCACACTCAAGAATATAATATTTATTTATACACCCGCTTTAGTGTGTAATCAGCCAGTTCGCTTTGTCAAAACTGTGTGGTCATATGATGTTCCTGTATGTGGTAAGCTATGGTTAGCGCTGCCAGACTTACGTTGGCTCCGATGCGACTGAGGTAGCGGTTGCGAATCTGGAAGTCTGATTGCGGAGTAAGAAGATCCTGTGAGGCGTCCGAGGCGTTTGCAGACAACAGCTTCTCTCTCTCAGCCAACTCTGCAGCCCTGCGACAACAAACAAGAGACGTCTTAGACACAATATTTTATACAAAATAGTTAAAATACCACTAGTTAATCCTTGATTGCTGTAATTGCAAGTTGCGGATCTTATGTTGACCAACATCAGGCCTCCAACTGGCAACTAGTTTCAGTTCTTAGTTCGAACCATATTCAGATTAACAGGTAGTAGGAAAAACCAATAACTTCATTTGAAGGTCTTAAACTAGCTTAGGTTGGATAAAAACGGACAACCTATAAATATTACATCATACACACAAAAAATATATAAAAAAGGTAAAGAACAAAAAACATTTAAATAAGTAACCTAACTGGGCTGAAAAGACAGATTAGACTGAACAACCAAAAAGTAATACTTATCCTCTAAACAGTTACTAATTTACTAAAACATTGATATATTTCATATATACTAAAAATATTTACTTTATATTCAAAAGAGTCTTAGAACTTTCTGTAGTTTTATTTAAATACACGTTGTGAGTTAATCAATGTTTTTGGGGACTATGAAAACTAAATAACATATACCAAAAGGTTTGACTCATTTCCTGGATCAAACAAATACAGCAAGAAAAATCTGAATAAAGCCTTTATGGAAAATAATATTTATCTGGGAAAATCTGGACTGGGACTTCAAGGCAAACCAAATCACCAGAAAAACTCGAAGAAACTTTAAAGGAAAACAATATTTATCAGAGAAAATCTAGAATAATCTTAAAAGGGGAAAAAAATTAATTAAGTCAAATGTGAATTCAACCTTTGGGTCAAAATAAATTACCAGGAAAAATCATGCCTAAATATTTAAGACTTCATTAAAATACATATGGACTAGCTATTAGTTTAACAAAAATCATTAGATATAATTCAGACTCAAACCTTTAGATCCAAATAAACTTATTACGTAAAATCTTTACAGGACCTTTAGTGCACACTAAATTCATCAAAACAATTCTAAATAAAGGCAAAAAAATCACTAGGGGAATTTTGGAATTGATCTTTAAGGCAATCATTAGGGGAAAACCGATCCGAACCTCTAAGGCAAGTCAAATAAAAATTTCAGCATATCTATATGTTATACAACACAATCTTCTTATGGGCCATTGAGAAGAAATGTTGGCTTTACTAGTGATGGTCAAAACCAGAAATTTTGAATCTCAAAACCAAAACCGAAACTTAAAAAGTCGAATCCCGAATCTCAAATCTCAACACTTGAACGCGAAACTTTTTCAAGCAACCTGGTCAAGGTTGCTAAAAATTAAATACAAGTAATGATAACATTTTCATTATGATTATGCAATCAAAACTGAAAGAGATTGACTCCTGATCCAGACATAATAACATAAATGTGACAGATAAACTTCAAACCCAAAATAACATATTGTTTTTATAAACAACTAACATTTAAATAAATGAAACTCTTGACATTGAAATAAACATAAATATTACATTAATTAGAACATTTAGTGGTCAATATTTCTTTGTGTTTAATAAATAAATATCGAATATTGATATGAAACTGAATTCTAAGCTGTTCCAGTATTTAAGATGCCTTTAGCAGTTCAGAATACAATTTACTTGTTTCATTAGTGTTAATGGAGATCTGTTTGCTCGATTGCTACTAGCTAGTGTGTAAACAATGTTAATAATAATGACACAAAAATGTCATCATTTTCAAAAATATAAGAGCCAAAACTTCCTATTTAGAAACTTTTGAATCTCGTAACTCCATGATCAAATCTCGAAACCGAAACTTTTCCAAAGTTTTGATGGTTTTGAGATTTGAGATTTGGTTTTGACACATCACTAGGCTTTACTGTACATTGAATAAAATAATATGTTGTCTTTAAAATTAAATAATACACAAAGAACTTTTTTTAGTTAAATGCTTGAAAGAAGAGAGAACACATAGCTGTTATCAGTGCAATACCCTGAACTGATGTTAATAAAGAAGTTAATCTGATTGAAATGGCGTAAGCCATTAGTGAATTCAAATTAACAGTTTCTCTAGCAGTTAAGTACACCCCTGACGCTTAATATACTTAAAAACCAAAAGTCAAACTACAAGAGAAAAAAACCAAACTTTTAAGTTTCAAACAAGTTTTGTTGTTATACAGAAAAGTAATAAAACTTGTTTATAAATAACTCATTGTCTGACATTACATTTATTAGAACATAACAATGTGTCCAAGCGACCATAATCAAAATATTAACAAAAACATATCAGCTGTTTGAAGTTCAACATAGACAGTTAATCAGTTAAATATTCCCCCACTCGCGATAAAACCGCTACTTTGGTAAGTGGCCTTTTTAATGTTCCATATGAAGTGGTGAAGTCAACTATTTGGACATGTGCATCTTTTCCTGGGCATACCTCTGATATTCGTCCAAGAAGCCTTGCAGATTCAAAATAGACACCATTCAGTTTAGATAGCCTAGGTTTTCCGATTCTGTATTTACATTTTACATTTAAAATGTGCAATAACATTGATTTTTACAAACCAAGGTTGACATCCCGTCTGTATACTTGCTGCAGCAAATTTTACAATCAAATAGAACAGAGTTGAATGATCCACTCAAACAATAGGCTACTTTATAAAATCCAACTTTCTCTCTAGATGTTGATACTTTGATGATTGATGTGACAAATTCTTTCGATTAGACTTATTGTGCTCTCAGTTTGGCTTGGTTTGCAAGTCAGTGTATATACAACAGAAATAAGTTGTTGACTGGAACACAACATCATTTTAACTATATTCATTTTTCATATAAAACTGGCTACAATTCTAAAACAAGAATGGTATGTCTACTACTCTTCAAAGTGAAAGATTATGCTTCGTTGTTAAGTTTACTACCATAGTTTTTTTAATGACATAAAAAAATACCCTAAAAACCATTTTTTAAATCATTTGAAAAAATAAAATCCCAAGAGACAGGTTCAAAGAAGGTAGACACTACTGTAAACATTTAATAATTATTTAAGTTAAAAATTATTCCTGGCTAAAACTTACTGTCGTAATCTGTCCATCTCCTCTCTCTGAGTGGTGGACATGTTGAGTATACCCGAATGCTTTGCGTCGTACAACCAAATCACTATACCAGTCACCAGGGCAACTGAAACAATGCAACATTGCTTCTATACCAACCATATGAAGGGAAGATTATTGCATACCAGAAAATAGATACTTTCAAGACAGTCAATTACAACAGTGTCAATTTAAAAGTTAATTTTATAAATTTGGTTTTACAAGAACAAGAAACGAATCAACTCTAGTTAACCTAACAGATATTCTCTTACCTATGTTACGACAAATAGCGAAGTCCAATTGAAAGAGCAACAATAACCAGAATTGGCCACATGAACATACTGAGCAAAACAATTCCACTGTCCACTTCACCTTGAGATAGAATCAACAAGACTAACACTAAGAGTGTAGGGATTCTTGCTTACACAAGCTTAACACAGGCGACCTACTAAATTTTGCTGTCTGTAAGCAATCAAACATGTTTGTTGTTTATTCAAAAACCAATTATTCAGCTGTAAAACTGTTTTCATCCAGCTTCCTGAGATTGCTATTATGAGAAAGTGTTATTGCTGCAATGCAGAAGATTTTGAATTTTTTTAATAATTCTTTTTTATAGAAATAGAAATAAATGTAAAAAATGTCCATACACTTATTCTTACATTCTTGATACCTAAAGGTATAATTTTACCCATAAAAAATTGATTTTGAACAAAAAAAAACCAACTTAGCAAAACTGATTGTGTTAAAAAATTGGGAAGTAATAACTAGTTTTAGGGTTTTTTACTTTGCCTGACAATAAACTGTCATTCCACGATTTTTAAGGATTGTTTTACACCGTTTACCGTAATTTTCAAAACACAAACTATTTTGAAATCAGCAACAGGTGATGTTCTCACCTGGAGGTTTTTTGTTAACTGTTATCTAATGATCTATCAGACAGTTTAAACCAGAAAATAACACTTACCGGCTAACCAGGCCAGGAAGAAGAGCTCTAGCATGAAATATCCTCCGCTATCTACTATAATGCCTGTCACCAAAGTGATGACTCCCAGGCCAAGGTTCTGAATGGCTTGAGCACTGCAACACCAGACAAAGAATACTATTAACTAGAGACAATGTTTATCTCTACTGTTAAGCTTTACCAGTTGCCATCATTAGAATGCATAGAGATTTTCATCATCAACTGCATCGTCAGCTGGAGATTGCTAACAAACGTCACAGCCAAGCCAAACGGCGTAACATCTGGGAGCGATCTGAAACTGACAACGCTGTTGACAACCAAAATTCGCTATGATTTATTGAAAGTTGCTGTCAATGTTGAGCAGGTAGACTGGAAGTGTTGTTACCAACTTGTACCTTGTACTGAGCTATGAAAGGTTGTTGTTGTATGTCAGAGTATTTGACCTGGTATTGATGTGGTAGGATGATGAGTATTAGGCCAAAAGTAGGAGCTGAACCACTAGGTCTGCCTTGAGTGTTGACAAAGTTAACATTGAAGTTCGTTTTCTCTCATTCATACATTACTTGTGTGGGTCCTTGCCCAAATAAACCAAAGTCAGAATCATTGGACGATAGTGCAAAAATTGGATACGTTACTAAATCACACATTATGTGGGCAGTATGGTTTTGAAATTCAAAATGTCCTATAAATCGTCTAAAAATAAATATATTTATAGCTACAATTATTAGTTTGTAGCAACTACAACCGTGTTTTAAATTACTCGCGCACCCAAAAATGGTGGAGTCATCTCCAAAAACGACCATAATGCTAGCAAATTAACTATTACAATATACAGGAAGTAATATATTTAAATAATTGGTTTCTATTAACTTTGTGATAATGTATAGGGAAAGGGAATGTTCTGCCCCGTAGACTGGCCTAGGTACAGATATACTCCTTTAACAGACAACATGCAGATACTCGCTAGGAAAGGTCTGTTGGTGGTTCCAGCCAGCACCTTGCAACATCCACAAAGAGGATCGCATGTTTGTGGAGGAGGTGGACCTCTAGAATTGATACATGGAAACATAAATATAATTCAAATTAAATTTTTGTATTTTTCATTTCATTGCCGAAATAAAGACTAGAAGTGTACAAAAGGGCTAATTTTGTATCCTAGCCTAAGAGATTGATCGAATACGAAGTCAGTAAATTGAGCAGAGCTTTTATTCTCGCTATCGGAGTAAACATATTGTGATTAATGAAAAAGAAGGAAAACACTATATGGTAACAAAGCCAAAGTTTTCCAGGCTTCACAAAAAAGCCAATTGCTTATAAATTACAAATAAAAACGAAGTGACTTTCTCTCAGCTAGGCCTGCACATTATTCCAAACTGTCAAATTAGTATCCAAGGAAATATAATCCTTCTAGGATAAGAGTTTCAAAAATACTCACACTCCGTAGGCAGTTCCCAGCTGGTACTGTGGTATGATGTATGCTACTAGAGGCCACAGACTACCAGCCAACATGGAGTACGCAAGTCCTATAATGCCCTGGAAATTATAGAGCATAGATACTATTTGTCAAATTTACATTGATATTATAGTATTTAATAAAATATGCATAGATCTAGGCCTATTTAGATATTTTTGTTAGTACGAGTAATTATTTATGCCGAATTGCCGAACATGCCGAAAGTCTTTTGATCATGTTTGGCAGGGATTGGGAGGTCGAACGGTCGAACCAAACTCCCACTTACAATTAGCTATCTAAGAAAAACTCGACAAATACAGCTGAAAGCTATTATACCTTACATGTGCTGTAACCTGGGAGTCATAAGTTAAAGCTACTTGCCTATACTTGGATTTTGTTTGACCATTGTTAGTAAGGTAGACTGTTAGGTTAAATCAATGACATCTCCTGTCTAGAGACAAAACCTTGGCTCAAAGGTTCAAATTCAAATTTGTCTCGGTCAGATTTGGCATACAACTTATGAGGAGAGCTCTCTGTTGAAAGAGCCTGAACTAAGATAAAATAAATACTGCGAGCAGCTCGGTTTGAAATTGAATAATTCCAGTATCCAGTTTTTAATTTGTATGTGATACCTTTTACCTTTACCTTCGATGTCTTCACCACAATCCGTAGATCGGGGAATCGTCATAATTCTTCCGTCTGGACGGGATTTTGCTATTTGTTCACGAAGTGAGCTGGCGTATGTGTACGTATGAGTGTTCCTCTATGTACTCGTTTATGTTGTAATATGGTCTATTGGTGAGGTATTTTTTTAAGTGTTGGACAAATGTTTTATTGTTGTGTAGAACCATAGCAAAAAAAGTACAAAACTACTGGACAAAGGAAATAATATAACATAGAAAATCACAACATATAAATTGTTGTTACCCTCAGGAAGTGAAATATTTTATATTTTAATGAACTAAAATTGTATCTAGATATTTTTAATTTTACCTATTTGAAAGTAACAAGTTTATTATAATTTTTTTAAATCTTGGGGATGAAATTACTATTATCTCCTTAACTATACCAACTTAAAAGATTTGTACCAACATACCAACAAACAATGATCACTTTTAAAGTTTTAAAGTAGGTACTGTAAGTCCTACATTATTTGTCAGAATCATTAAACAACCGTACACTTTGATTTTTAATTTTTAATACTGTTACCTAATCAAATAAAAAAAAAACTGTTAATTTTTTTACCAAACATACTGGTACTTAAGTTACTGAATAAACCATTGTGAACAAAATTATTTACGACTTTTCCCAAAACAGATCTTTGTGTACTCACCATAACAATATACGGGTTAACAAACGTGAACGCCAACATCCCGTGAGCCAGTATGGTACAGAAGATAGAGAGTGAGACCCAGAACACATTGCGGCCCGTTTTGTCCACAATGTAGCCGGAGACTGGGGAGAACGCAGCTGAGGTGATGTAGAGGATGCTGTTGGCATGACTGGCATCATCCTCAGTCATGTCGTACTTGCGCTCGAAAAATACACTGCAAAACCAGACAACATTTACAACTCTAATACTACCAGTTACACGATGTAGACCCGACTGGGCGTATTTCAGCCCAAATATGAATATAAAATTAATGTAGAGTGGAGTGAGATGGTTTGTGTAGCTTTGTTACTGTCTGTACCCTTAGGAGTTCAGGTAAGCCCCTGAACATGTGCATGTCACCTGGGATTCAGGGACACTTCCCAATTTAAAACCCGATAATCAAGGACAGCTGGGCTGATTACTACCCAAGGGTAACTGGTTATCAACGGCACTGTTTTTTTCTGGATTTATAACCTATAAAAAAGATTATGTAAAGCTGTTAGTCTGGCCTTGCTTAAATTGTAGGCTAATTAGTAATCCAAAACCACACATTTTCTTATTTGAAGGGGAAACACAGAGCACCTAGAATAGGCTATTTAATATATTCTAGAACATATCCCAGTCTATTACCAAATTTAGGCCTAAGTATACAAAATTAACATCAACAAACCAATGATATTTGCTTTTTAACAAACAATTGTTTGAATACAAAACTTTCACACAAAATATAATTTCAGGAATCGTAAAACAATCCAGTAGTAACAAAGCAACAACAGGCCTCTTTTAAACTGAACAAGCATGCTGGTAGGGAGAACACGATGTTATTGTCAGCCAATTGATTTCAAAATAAAATAACTGTATGTGGGTACACTAGGCTGACGGGAGCTAACCAGAGGTAGATAGTAAATACTAAAGAATTGTATTACTTTCTGGGAAGTTTTGCTCATGTTTTGCAATGAAAATTTTTGTCTTCTCAAGCTACTGCAGAAAACCAGAGTATAATATTGCCTCTATGGATCAAACATATGGTTGTTTCTATAACCAATTAGTCTCTGTGATAGACCTATCTATTGTTAAATTAAAATGACGTGTATTATTTTGAGCCAGCATTATGAAAGTGCATTATAAGAGAGCATTAGGGAAACATAAAGAAAAACATTGCAGTTGTTAACACCAATAGATAGCCTATTTAAATCCCAAAGCACCACATCAAATCTTCAAACATCTGTGTGAATCCCAAGTCGAACCAAAATTAAATGTCAATGGAGTCAATCGGTTTGCTTGCATAGCTATAGCCCTAAACGTAGGGGGAGCGGGGTGGTCTTGTTGTAGAGCGTTGGACTTTGGTCCCTAAGGTCCTGGATTCAAATCCCACCAAATTACCAGTGGAATTTTATCTAAGTGATAATGCCGCAACCCCTAGATCTGGCCTGAAGTAATGTGAAAAACGATTTTGGGCTCATGCCCAGTGTAGGCCTACTGACAAAATGCACTAAACTTATAAAATAGTCTTTCCGACATTTAACTTACGTTCCGAGAGCGATGAGCGGGAATATTGCCACGTAGTACGCTACACAGATGACTGTGATCAGCCAGAATGTGAGGTTGAAGTCCTTCACGTCAGTTATCCTGACCACATCAGTACTGGCATTGTCTCTGGCACTCTCCTCTCGTCTGTTCCTCAACATGCCGAGTATCACAGCTCCAAGCAACGACATCACACAGGTAGCTGCAGCTGAAATCAGAACAGGTGTTCATAAAGATGAGTCAATCAGATTGTTTTTGCTATTGCATAGTTTAAGTCCAAATGCAAAAAACCGAAGTATTCTTGAAACAATAGTAACAAGACTTTTAAGGAATTAAATTAAAGTAGTTTGGTCCAGAATTATATCATCAACGATGACTGATGTTATCTAATCTATGGTGTGGATACAAGTATTACTAATAATACTCGTGCCATCAGATCCTATATTTCCTTAGATTATAGTGCTATATAAAACACCTGCTCCTAAACACTTTGCCTTAATAACTAAGAATTTTCCATTTTATTTTATTTCATTCTGTGCCACTTACAAAAAAAGAGTAAAGTAGATTGAATAAACTTTAATGTAGGCTACTGTAATTAAAAAAATACAAAAAAAATTAATAGGCCTAGTTAAAAATTACGAGTGGAACAATATTTTATTCAAGTTGAGCCGAGCCTAGGCCTAAAATCTCGTCTTCAAGCACTAAATATGTATTGAGAATAGTTTACTGACAATAGTATGGTAAACTTAAAGTATATCGTACCTAACAAAAACTAAAACGTTTAAAAATACACTATCAGCTGTTGCAAGCACAGAGAGAATACAGTTCTAACGAAGTTGACACGACATAATGATTAACATAGCAAAGTATAGCATGGATTTTGATTTTGAATTGTTTGAAAGCAGAAATTGTTGTGTACCAATCGTTTGGTACCTATGGTCACAACCCCTGTGTGACAATTTTTGCTGACCTTCATCATAAAAGTACCTACCTAGAAACAAGGTGATGCCCAGGCACTGGTATCCATGGAAGTACTGTTGTACAGCTTCGTACATGTACTTCAACACCCACAGGTTCACAGTGCTGCCGACCCGAGCAAAACTGAGCTGCAGACCAAACACTGTGTTGAGCTCCTTGCCCATGAACCAGACAACGGCGTAGTTGTTCTGTGCCACGGCCAACGACTCTCCTCCAATACTGTAACAGTTAATGTTGAGTTAGAACTGGGAAGTGGCTGGTCCTGGATGTTTGTGTTCAAATCAATTAACAATAACCAAGGGCTTTTGGTTACATGATAATGCCATGACCCAGAGGTTCAGACGACCACTGAAGTAGAAAACAAATAGTGATAGTTGTGACTCTCCGCATTGTATACAATCTAGTACGCTGGTCTCAATGTATTGATGGGTCCGCGGAATTGGCTAACTCTGGAACTCGCTAACCCCATGTTAAATGCCCTATCTTAAAATTTGGTCGATGAGAGGAACTCGCTAACTTGTTCGGTTTCGGAATTGGCTAACTCCGGAACCCGCTAACCCGCTCTAGAGCCGGGTTAGTGACTTCCGTACTAGGACAGAATTCGCTAACTCGGTCCCTCGGCGGAACTCGCTAACTTCCAATCAGAAGCGTCGCGCGCCGGCCAATAGGAGCAAAGCACAAAGATTGTTGGCCAGTGTTGCCAAAAGTGTAGTACCTACGATCGTATCGGTACCATAATATCGTATCCAATGAATAATTCGCAGTAAGAGCAATGTGGTTGATGTTAAATAAAAGTATATTGAGAAGTAGGCTATGTTTATTATTATTGTTATGATTATTATTAGCGTGTAAAATGCGTTATTATATTCTAATTTAATTGTTGTTTATTCGTTTGTAAAAAGATAGTTCGTTCGGTTTTTTTGTTGATGAAATATTTATTTTCATAGGCCGTAATTTGCTCCTTTTTCAAATAAATTGCATTAAATATATGAAATGCTGTAAATAAAATTATCAAGTTCGTATTTGGTAGACCGGGTTTGTAGCCGTGAATGATTTTCCTTGATAGGCTATATGACTCTTTAAAGGTCTATTTTATGTCTGTCGTGCGGGTTATGATTTTTATTCATTTGAATAACTTATCATTTTGTTTCAATGTTCTTACATTCATTAATCTGGCACTCCCCTCATGAAGCAGAACAAGACAGTCCGTTCTGTTTACACCCACAGTTGCACAATGGGTCATAAAAGAAGAATGGACCATTTTCAATAATCACTCTAGGGTTAGCAGTATAGGCCTATCAGATACTGTACGGTAGTACGAGGTTTTCACCAAGAAGGACATTATTCTCAGACGTTTGAACAAATATGTGAAAAAAACTATTATAGGAAACAGTAAACATGAATACTATAGTATGAAACAGTAAACATATCAACACAGGCAATGCAAAAAGACTACAAAACAAAAAAGTCGTACCCCCATATATTTCTTATGGACGTTTCGTAGTTTGAACAATGTTTGTAGACAATTTTTCTTATATATCTCCAGTTTTTACAGCTTGCAGTTTGTTCTAGCCTTAAAATATTCTGTGATAAAAGGGTTTACATTTGAGCTATTGATCATTATAATGGTATGATTTAGAAACGAGCTACCAACCCTGTCACATTAATAATGTGACACCCTGAAGGTGCCGGGTTCGCATCCCGCTGGTAGTACTAATTTTTTGGCCTTGCAAACTAACAACACGTCTCCTCAATTTTCTGTCACCTGCCTCTTCTAATGCACATTATTCATTAAATTACCAAGATCATTTTATCAATTGTGTTTCTTTCTATAGTCTAATGTGTTGAAATGCATTGTATATTTATTTAATTTTACTAGGGTTTTACCATTATTTACATGCATTAGGTTCTCACATTATTGTTTTTGAAACGTCACAATTTATTTGACAAACATAAAATGGAAGCATAACAAAGAATCGGCTGATAGCTTCAAGGTCAATGAGTAAAACTTGCGGTAGTTGTTATTTTAAACGTTACAGTTTTTATTACTGAACTAAGATGTTAATGACAAACTAATATTATTGAGCAATAATACTGTAGTTGTAACTTACTTTGACTATGCGAAAAGCAAATTAATAATCACAATAATGTACATTTATACAGTTAGGACTATTATGAGGTTTTATGATCTTTTATGGGCAAAATCCTTTAAAAAAAAAAAAAAAAAAAAAAAAATCCTTTTGTCAAGGGGGGGGGGGGGTGACCCCAAACCCCACCCCTTGCCACTGCAGCAGAATATTTAAGACGGTTGTAGAGAAATTTGATCTATAATAAATGTAATCAGATGATGTTGTGATAGTTGTACTAGATGATTGAGTACTAGCGTTGACTAGATAAAGTCGAACACCTGCTTACCCTTTGTCGACCGACGGGACTATTAAGTCCCAGCATTGCTTTTTCAGAACAGCTGCTGCCAATTAGGCCATTCTAGGGTTGCTATTGGTTGTAGCTGTTGCCTAGCAACAGTTTCAGCATGTCCTTGTAGTTCAAACTTAGTCCACCAGGCTGCAGCACATACTGGACTCCATAGGGTACTAGCATTGACTATAAATCCTTAATGGTACTAGCCCTTTGTCGACCGACGGACTCTTAAGTCCCCCAACGGGACCCTCAAGTCCCAAATAATATTTTTTTCTGTTACAAGTAACCATGGAGATATTTAATAACTTAATTTGATCCATAAAAACATCTTCCAGCAAATATTTTCTTATTTTTCCAATTTTTCAGTGGTTAGGCAACAAAGGGTTAACATAATAATAATAAATGCAAATAATTGCATTAATTAATGTTTGTTAATTTATTTAAACACAGATTTAGTAGTTGAACATTTATAGGGGAAAAATTAATTAATTAGGCATTTACAAATGTATCATACAGTAATAACGTTACTAATTGTAATTAATGAATCTATATTAAAATAATAGTCTCCTCTCCAACTCCAGAAAAACAATTCAACTACTTGATGTCATAACAGAATCATAGTATCAAAAATATTTTAAGTATTGTGACCATTGCAACTGTCGGCTGTTATTTGACCGCTTGAAAACACATTGTGTCAATAAACAAATAGCTCAGAGGTAAGAAGAGGCTCACGGCACGTAGATATCAGGTTCGAAACCCATTTGGAGAAGATTTGTTTTTCATCATTTGATTTCATATAAATAGATAGGCATACTTTTGTAAACAACTTGTAAAGTTAACATTTTGCGACACTTAGAAACCCACTGTAAACCACATTAAAAGTTACTCAAAATAATAACGACGGATACTATTTAAAAAAATACACAGTTGTTGACATCTACAAAACTGAAACCCTAAACTAAAATGTCCTTGACTTTACCTTTCTTAAATCTATCCTTCTTCCAACACCAAATCATATAACAAAATTAATAATAAATTAAACAAATCTTAGGATTAGGCTAAAAAAAAAACTAGATTTTTGCATGTAGGCCTAGGTTTACATTGCTTTAGTTGTCAATTGCCTAGGTTTAGCCTACAATTATTCTATTAACTGTTATGAAACGTATGTAATATTTTTACACATAAGTTTGACGAGTCAACAACGAACCTTTAATTTGAAGAATTACTTATAAAACACGGTTAAAGGCAAGGCAATTAGACAGGCAGGTTATTAGACAAGGGTCAATTACATCACGATTAAATTTTGTATCCGTGTTTGAGAGCTCACTTACATTTACAATCTCCTCGTGGTTTAGTTGGTAGGTCTACTATTCTCACTAATTTTCATGTATTGCTATTTTCCTATAACACTGGCATTCATTATAGATATAAATCATATAACACAATTTCATTGGACTTGTAACAACAAAATACAAAACCATATAACCTCTTAAATTTATGTGGCATTCCCAGTTTCAAGAACAAAGGATTTACTATGTTGGTTTACCTTATGATTGCCATGTTCTTGGATAAAACTTTCAATAAAACTCTACAATCATCAAGAAACAATCACAAGGTGAACCAACATAATAAATAACTTCTTAATGATGTTATAATTGCATTTTAATTGCTTTGAGCTACGTAGCTATTATATTCCCCCTAAAGGATTTGATAATAGAAACCAACAACGTAACAATTATCTTTATTGACACTGACGTTTTGAATTACGGCAGATTACGACTATTTCGTCGTGCAAGGTTGGCAACGCTCCGTGCAGTGGGCGCGGCCGGGTTAGCGACTTCCAGAGTTAGCGAATTCCGCCGCGGGACAAAATCGAGTTAGCGGGTTCCGGAGTTAGCCAATTCCTGACTGGGACGGTTAGCCAGTTCCAGAGTTAGCCAGTTCCGACACGAATGAGTTAGCGAGTTCCAGAGTTAGCCAATTCCTACGTCTCGTATTGATCATAAGAACACATGTAACATATTAGTTTTAATTAATTATACATCTTGTTTGTACATATTTTTTTTTGTAACAATTTTAATGTTCTAAATGTTTAAAGTGTGCTTTAGATTAAGATTATGTTAACTGTAAAAAATTAAAAAAAATCAAATTTTAATGTGTACGAATTATTTTAGATGTAAAAAGTCTGATACAAATTCAATCATGTAGGTATCCACACAGAAGAGCAGTGATGAAATCTATTTTTAACATGATTGAGGCTGTTTTCACAAAATAAGGTTCTCTCCTTTAAAAATGCATCAATACAATCATGGTTTACAAAATTGCATGAACCGAGTGGGTTTGTTGTAGTAAAACCCCAATGACTAAGAGCAGTTGGATAAATCAACAAAACTCATGTGGCTAGTTTGGATATGTTATCTGGCAATTAGTTGACACAATATCATCTTTATCAACAAAGACGGACTAGCTGGTTGAGCAACATACTATAACTGACGTGATGTCAAATAGCTGATAATAGGCTAACTTATATGGTAAAACTTAGATGAGGTAAATGCCCTCTAGAGCCTAAATGATATTAAAAATATAATATACGGTACTAAAGAAAAATAATGGAATTTTCCTATAAATGGAATTATTACACTTTATGGTAGAATTTAAAATCTTGATTAGTTTTTAGGCAGATTTTTAGGGATGATAAAGTGATTGTTAATGACACCTTTTGCAGGATTTCGCATAGTTTATGCGGTAAAACTTTCTTGAATTTGCTACAATCTGGAAAGATTCTGGAATCAATACAAAATTCAAAGACACCTATACCGTATTAGGAATTGAAACTTTTCAATGTTCAACAGAAAAAAAGAAAGCCTATTCAAGGTTTTTTACAGTCGGCCTCCACAAAATTCACGGCTTATTCACGCTTTTAAGGTTCTTAGGCCTAATTGAGATGGATACCCCAATGTTCAGGTCTATTTTGTGTACATTACATGAGGAAGTGCAAAATCTGACGAATAATAGCCTATTGATTTACAATATATTATAGACTATTCTATTTTCTATCAAGTCCTATAGTAAAAACAGATTTTATGAAACATACCCAAATATAAATCTACCGACTAGCATAAGGGCGAACGAGTTTGCGTAGGCACCATAAGCGAACACAAGCTGTCCAATAACAACAATGAAAGCGTAGAGTACTGTTCCCAATCTAACGCCAAACACTCTGAAATCAACAAACAATACCAAGTCAGCCAAGATGAATAAACATTGTTTTTCTGGTGACGTACAATAAGTTAGTAGGCTACAGTGTGGTATGTAAATTTGTGTACAAACATATTAATTATTTATATATGACCTCTAGCAGTTTTAGCATTTACAACTTTTATTTGCAAATTAAATGCAATTCTATTTCATTGGAAAATTCTTTACAAAAAATCAGCCCATCTCACTTCAAAAATTAAGTGATGTTTGTACGTTTTAAACAAAAAAATTAACATTTCAGCAGGGCCAATTTACTGGTTAGGCACAGTAGGCACGTGCCTAGGGAGTGAGGCAATTGGCTTTTTTGAGGGGCACCAAAAAATTGGAAAATAAAAAATGTAATTACCGCAAAGGAGGCAAAGTTATCTTTTCCCGCGGTTGTGTGGACATTATTTTTTCCTGCGGTCATGTGGACATTAGTCGTCTCCCGCAGTCGTGTAGACATCATCATCAAAACTAACTCACACATAATTCAAAGATTTCCCGGATGGTAAACACACTATAATAGGCCTATATATTGCAAAGGGGCGCTACTATTAGTTGTGCCTAGGGCCTGCATTTAAGTACCGTACAGGGTACGGGGTACAGGGTAGGCTCTACGTTATGTTAAATCTTAAATATTGAAGGAATTTTGCACCATACTTTTTTGTTTGAGGATACATCAAGAAAAAATATTATGAAAAACTATCAAAATTTTAAGAACATAATTATGAGGAATTAACTTTCCAAAGTGATATTTTTAGGAACCCGTCAAACAGTTTGATCTACAATGGTCAATTATCTTCTGGAGAACATAACAAGGATAGCCTATAGATCCCTTAAAGTGAGATTCAAGATGATAATAATTTAGAAAAATTAGAGCAGCATAGGCCTAAGCCAATAGACATTTAGTGGATAAATCTGTGGCTGTAGGCTAGCTGTTATTATTTAAATGAGTTTTATTTTTAAAATAATTTTGCAATTATTGTTAACTTATTATTTACTTTGTTGTTTACAAACTTTTTTTCCTTACTGGTGTTGTATACCGTACTTGTTATGACTGTAATAAACCTTCTAAAATGTAGGTACCGGTAGCCTAAATGATGTATTATTCTTAATCATTATAACTTACAACACAAACGACCACAAGCCAACAACACAAACGACCACAAGCCAAACTACTGGTAAAAATAAAACCTCTACTTAATCAAGACTTTAGAAGGCCCAGAGTTTCTTTTAAAATGTAAAGGTTGATTCACACATATCAGTCCAGTCACAGCTTCGTTTACAGTAGTCAAACTGTCAGCAATTTGGTTTCAGTCAGTCTTCTCTTCCTTTAAAAATAGGCTACAGTGTTGTAACAGTAAAAATCCATTACCGTACCTAATTAAAATTAAATAATCTATTGAATTGATATCGTCCATCTTGTTGATTGTTACATAACGTACGGCAGGCCTACTCAAAATATAAGCGATCATTTAAATAAAAAACACTATTTTCTAACCTCAAACACTTTGTCCGTCAGGCGTCCGAACAATCCAAAAATATTGAGTGAAAAGAAATCTGAAATTAACTGAGGGCCGGCAGAGTGACTGACGGAAACTGAGTCGGATGAGTGTAGGCTAGTGCAATAGAAAATCCATTAAAAATAATTCGTGTGACTGTGACAGGACTGATGTGACTTAACTGTGACTAAGTTATATGTAAATTTTTCATACATACCTGTCTATTAAAAACCCACCGACAAAACACAAAACCACATTGGGCCAGGAATAAACAGAGTATAAAAGTGTAAACTCTGCAGTTGAGAGACCCATATCTTCAGTGAACTTATTCTGAATTGCACCAGGATTGTCATAACAGAAATAAGAACCTAAAACAATAAAAAAATTGTTAATTTATCATTCAATCAAGCACCCAACTAAGATTATTGGCCGCTTATCCTAAATATTGTTTTAAATAGGCTACAGTAAGCTTAACGGTAGGCCTAATTATTAACCGTGATGGAATCATTTGGAGAAAGGTAACTTAGTCAGCGGTTTGAGATGTAGGCCTAGTAAGTTACTTACCCGTACAGAAGAAAACTTTGAACCAGTAAGTTACACATCAATGGTACAGGATTTGTAGCGTAACTCTTTGTCGTTGATTAAGTTATTGCATATTATCTTTCTAATGCCTTCTCACCAAGAGGAGATTTATTTTTCCTTCTTACCAAATAAGGTAGGTACCGACACGTGTAGTATCCTAAGGCATAGGCTATCAAGATAATATTTAGGCTAAGTTAGCCTACATTGGCCTATTAACCCTTAAAAAGAGTGCCAGGCGAGAAATAAAAGTAACGCTCAAAAAATGCCGATGATTTTTCCCGAAGGTCGCGCTAAAAATGCCGAGCGCAATCTGGCAATTTTTAGGTTAAAATTTCGTAAAAATCAAATTTTCGATATTTCGACCAACGAAAATCGATGTATCGCATCTAGTAACTTTCGACTCAATGTTAATGTATGGGGTAATTCTGAGCAATTACTTGGTCAACCCAAATTTTTTTCATATTTTACTACGGTCATCAGGAGGTTCTCAGAAAGCAAGAAACATATAATTGAAGGCCCACAAGGCCATCGTACAGGTTGCCGAGCGATAAGAAGGTTCAAAGTCCAAGCGATAACAGTGGCTTGCGGGAGACGCGCGGAAGGCCAGTTGTGACAGTACCGTTATGGCGATTACTGAGGTAATTAATAACCTAACTTAACCTAACCTAACTTATTATGTTTTTTTAGTCTCAAATACATCTCTAAGGCAAATTGTAACAGTACCGTTACGTTAGGTTAGGTTAGGTTAATTAATAACCTAACTTAACTTAACCTAACCTAACCTAACTTAACCTTGCGGGGCTTGAATTATATGTTTCTTGCTTTCTGAGAACCTCCTGATGACCGAAGTAAAATATGAAAAAAATTGGGGTTGACCAAGTAATTACTCAGAATTACCATGTATGGGTTAAAAGAATCCAAGTATCCATTCGGTTGTTATGACAACTGTTCGATCATTACGAAACGTCCGGTCAGCCGGACGTTGGCACTTTTGGCTCGTTCTAAAAACGTCCGGTCGGCCGGACGTCGGCACTTTTGGCTCGTTTCAAAAACGTCCGGTTCCCCGGACGTTGGCACTCAAAGGGTTAAGGAGGGGTGGGATAGGCCCTTCCAAAGGCCAAATTTAATTGAAACTAGTGCCTAGTGCCTACCTACCCAGTGCTCGCTTAGTAAGCCAGGTTGCCGGTTCGGTGTGCTAAGTCATAGGCCCTAAGTTAGGCCTAGGCTCTGTTCTGGTTAAACTTAGCCTTAATTGGCCCTTCACCTAACTTAGGTTAAAAGAACAATAGGCCATGGCATAGTAAACGTCTAAGGTACTTACCAAATCCAAGAAGGCACATGAGGAAAAGAGCAAAAAATCTCATAGGACCCGAGTTATCCTGTTTCAAAGAAGATTCAGTATCTTCAACATCTGTGATTTCATCCATTTTTGGGAGGTTAAGTTTCGACTTTTTTAATAGGCTAAATAAACACTCTTTATGATTCTTCGGACGTAACTAGCCTAAACGTTCAAACAATATCTTTCTAAATCAAATATATTAGGAGTGTGTGTTTGACATTGTAGCTAATTGCATATCACACTCCCTAACCTAACTTAAAACTGCAAAAGCTGTAAACGATTACGATACTGTAGTAAAAAATCACTTAGGCCTATGGTTGACTTTTTAAATGCACTTTTGGTTATATAAATCACTGCGATACTGACAGTAAATAAAGTATAAGTACAAAGTTCATCCCTCGTTCTTGAAAACTCGTTTGAGAATAAAAATGACAAAGACAACAGGGCCTAATTGGACTTAATTGGTTCACAAAACATCAACTTGCAATACAATATCACTTTGAACCTTTCAAATGACTGAATTTACCACACATAAACATAGTAAATATAATAAATTAATAATATTAACGGAAAGTATAATTTTTAAATTAGAAAATGTGTAAACTGATTGAGAACTAGCCTAGCCAGCCGAATGACAATGAACAGCAAAACAGCTGTTTTTTCTATGCTAGGTTTCGCTCGCCAATTCTATTGGCTAATGGCTAATAATGGCTATTTTGTTCTTCTTTTCTTCTGTCCCTTCTTCTGACGATGAGTCAGTCTGACTCTGCCGACCGATGGAAAGCAGTGACTCATGTCACAGAAAACGTATGTACATGTACAACCACGGCCACCTAAAGATGGCCGTGCTACAAAACACTATGCTATGACAACTCCTTAAAGCAGTCACTAGCATTGGTTATAGCATTATAACACTATATTCACTGTAAATAATTAATTTATAACTTCCTAATTGGCACAGTAAAGTTAGATATGTTTTTCTAGTAGCGGTCAAGGTAGCAAGAAGGTCGCACTTTACATCATTGGAATGCGAGGTGTGGCTAATCTGTGGCTGTCTTCTTATCTTAGGGGACGGAGACAAGTCGTCCAATTGCCATTTGTTGACAAAAACCATTCTAAAAAAGTGTTGTTCAGACGTTTTGCTGGTCAAAGCTGGGGTGCCTCAGGGTTCAATATTGGGGCCTATTTTATTCATCTTATACATAAAATGACATCAAAAATAGTGTTTCAGATGCCCATTTGTGTTTGTTTGCCGATGACACGTCAATTGTTGTTGATAAACCCACCCACGGTGCCATGGAAGTTGCTACTTTTCTTGAGTCTAACAAAGTTGTCAAATGGTTTCTTGACAATGGTCTTGTCATAAATAATGGCAAGACCACTTTGGTGGACTTCAGTATATCGTCAAAACATCGCACTGATCTCAGTGTTTGGATTGAAGACAATAGTATCTTCGAAGACCAATTTGAAATTTTTCGGGCTTAACATTAACGAAAACCTAAATTTCTCATGTCAAACTGACAACTTTGACCGAAAGGTTAATTCCGGCATTTTCGTGTTACGTCGCCTTGCTCCTTTCACAGACAAAACAGTTCTTCAATCTGCTTAATATGCTGAGGTTTTTTTTTTGAGGTCCCTAGAGGCCAAAAACATCATCCGTTCAAATTCATATATATATATATATATTTATATATATGTGTCCGTTAGCACGATAACTCGAGCAAAAATGATCCGATTTTGATTAAATTTGGTACAAACATGTAAACCTACGTTTATTCGAACGAGTTCGCGATCCAGCATGATCGGACCATGGGAACGGGGGTTTACGGGGGGTTTTATGGGGTAAAAATAGGTTTTTCCCATTTTTGACCCAAAAAAAAATAAAATTTAGCAATTTCTTTCCAAACCATTTTGTAGAGCTTAAAAAAACAAATAATTTAGTATATTTACGCGTTATTATGCGCCTAATGGTTATAGAGAAAATTCCAAAAAGTTGTAAATTTAAAATTCCCATGTTATTCTTATGGAGAATAAGTAAACTGTTGTAGTTTGCTTGTTTATGAACATATTTTGATCAAATTTGGAAAATGTTTTTATTTCTTACTAACTATTAACATTTTACAAAAAAAAAAACAGTTTTACCCTCCCTGATGCAGCAAACCTAAGTACTTGTTAAAACTAATTCTATTTAAATCGGGAATAAATGTTATATTTTTAAGTAGACATTTCAGTGTAAATCCAATCAGTCAAATGGAAATTCGCTTAGTCTGCAGGTTTGCTGCGGCGGGGGTATTTGCTTATATTATGTATTTTATTTAAAAATTGTGACGCAAGCCATGCATGTATATATTAACTGGCAATAAAGGAATATTTGATTTGATTTGATTTGACTGAACAGCTGTGAGTCACCAGCCCAGTTAAACATTTTTTTTAGAGGTTGGCGGCCTCTTTTAACCTTGCATTTGCCCGTCCACATAGACTACAGATCTGTGCGTGGAACGTATCCAGCAAAGCATGGGGTGAGCCGGTACAGTACGAAGGTGAACTGTACTGATAAATTTTAGTGGCAGTGACCAGGATCCGAACCCTCGACATCGCTGCCTTGGGCCCGAAGTCCGTGACGCTACCAACTGAGCCACCGACTCATAAATTAATATTATCATTGCCGCTAGAATGCCATTTCTAATGTAATAAAAGCTAGCACCCTTTCAAAGTACTGCGAACCGCTTTTCTGAAATGGCTTCCATTTCCTGGACCAGTATGTGAAAATCCTACACATCAGGGTAAGCCATCGCATTGACTCTGCGCAATAAATCTAACATAAAACACCTTACCTACTTCTCAAAAGAACTCAAATTTGAAGAAGTGCTATAGTTCTAACAGGTATATATAGTCTATAGCGCCACTCATCCTACACTCATCTCCATTCATACTTGACTTATTACCTACTATGTATGGTCGCCATATCATTGAGCAGTATTAACAGTATACCTAGATAAATACAAAGCTACGCGTTGTGCTTGGGGCACATTAAAAGTACATTTTTATTGATGTCTAGGCGCAGTAGCATTTTTAGAAGAGATGTTGAAGAGACAGTGAAAAGCTTTTTTGGAAAACGGACTAAACCCGAATGTTTAATAATTTCTTACGGTTCATAGACTTGTATAAGATAACAACAAAATATAAAATAACAAGTCATAAACTCAAATCGGGACCACAGCGTGTAGTAGGCCAACACTACCTTGCTGTATGATCAGTAATCTTTCAAATTGCATTATTAATTTGTCTTATTTTAGCGGAGAGTGAACTAACTGAGCGAGGCTCTTATTATACTACACTCATGTTTTTTTGTTCCACATACTCCTACTGAGCGGCTGAAGCGATCTGGATGAAATTTAGCTTATCAGCTATCAAGGATCCAATTGTATGAGCTATCTCATCAAGGATAAAATGGCGATTGCCATCAAAATGAATAAATGAATAAATGGATCCATGCTTGCTTAGTCTTAGCTTGGACAAAGTCATAGTAACCATCAACTATGGGAAGGTATAAATCTGAAATGGTACAACTCGCACTAAAGAGCTTTTCTCTAAGTCAATTTTAATTTTTAGAAATTTAATATGGCCTTAAGGCCCATAATTATTTTAATATTATTCGCCATGAGATGATTTGCAAGTCAACAATAAAAAAGTAAACAAAAGAGTCGTACAATCGTACAATATTTATGTTAGTCAACGAATCATCTAAACTTGCACATTTCAAATACAGATAACAAAGGGATAGAACAATCGGATGATTTAATATCGTTAAGGATGAGGTTGACGCGTTTAATGGTCTCCGGAATTTTAGGCTAATGCCTAATTAGTACTCCGAATAGACATTCCATTTTTAAGAAACAAATATACCATTGACTTTGGATACTACAAATAATCAATTATTCATGTGAACTAAATATACCATACTATTATGTATAATTAATTGTAACGATAATCGCCTCAAAGCTCCCCCGCGGACGCGGTACTTTAGGTGTGATGGCTCGAGGTAAAAACGTCCGCGCCCGGTACTCCCGCGGCGGTAGCGGCGGATGTCGGTGTGGCACGGCCTTTAAGTTGGGCGTTGTTATGCAAAATCACGACACCGGAGGTCAGCATACCACGGTATTGGTTTACTGTGGCTTTTGGTGATGAACCAATTCAAGAACTTCTTTTGAGTCCATATGTACCCTATATTGGGTGAGTCGGTGGCTCAGTCGGTAGATTCGCGGACTTCGGGCCCAAGGCAGCGATGTTGTGGGTTCGGATCCTGGTCACTGCCACTAAATTTTATCAGTACAGTACACCTTTGAACTGTACCAGCTCACCCCTTGCTTTGCTGTAAACGATCCACGCACAGGCGCTTAGTCTATGTGGACGGGCAAATGCAAGGTTAAAAGAGGCCACCAACCTCTTAAAAAAAAAAAAAAAAAAAAATACTGAAATAGCTGCGGCCGAATACATTTTGGCGTCAAAAAGGTTACAGCGACTCGCACGTTACACTTTCTAGAAATTTTCTGTCGTTTCACACATTCTTAGATGCTGTAAAATCTAAATGAACAATCGTTCTCGTTTAGGACATTTTTAAAATTTTCTACAAAAGTTATTTCTGCTGTTAGAAAGTTGCAGTTAGTACCTTTAGAAAGAACAACCTCTGGTGAATCCATGGCCTGTGTTTTCAGTAGAATTATATTTTTATTTTAAAACTATCTTATGCTCCTAAAATTTGTTTTTTTAATTTTAAAATGAAACACAAAGATGTTTGTATAGTACTAGTAGGGCTAGTAATAAATATCTTTGATATGGTTAGTTTTAGTTATTTATTCATTCTTTCTTAAGTACAACATTTTTTTAAGTAAGATAAAATTCACTAAGCATTAACCACTTTTGCGGCCATACCAACAGTACAAATACGTGATTGGATCTTAAAATAACACATAATTTATTATGACGCTACACTAAACTAAGGATTTCTATGGTTATATTTATTAATTTTGTATTGTCACATAACCTAGGAACTTTTCGTGCATTAACTGTTATTATCATCATGAACCTAAGAGCACAATTCATTTTTCCATGTCTTCAAAATGATTACGTAAGAAAAGGCAGGAAAGCAGAAAATAATTTGCAAGGTTATTTAGGTTAACTGTCTGGAAGAAAAAGAATAAATATGTTATACGGGGATAGTTAAAATTTGAATCATAGAAAACGTTGAAAACATTGTACATGTATTATCAGAGACGATGTGAAAGTACTGAACTCACTAATGGGGTATTAAATGGGCATTATATATCACTTACTAATTAAATGCATCATTCGACCGATGTATCATTCAATTGAACTGAAGAGACTTCTTCAGAAAATAAAATGTACTCTTAGATTAATTCTCAGGGTAAAAGAAAACAAGCTGAGTCAAAGAGAATGTAGATTTACTTCTATAAGGAGTGGCAGAATTCATTTTTTGTAACATTTTAATATCATACAAAGGAGAAGAGTTGTATCAAGATTTGTTACCATACATATTGACATTAAAACTATATTTGCCAAATTTCTTTTTCA